AAAACCCCAGATAATAATAAAAAACATGGGTCTAAATCTAAAAGCTCCAAAAACTCTCACCTAATGGAAGGTGAAAAACATCTACCTTCACCACGCAAATACACAGAAAGCAACAAAATTTATCCGGTTTTTTTTTTTTTTTTTTCTTCTTCTTCTTTCCTTTGGCACAGATTACTGTGGGAATATCTCTAAGCTTTACTACGCGAACGCAGAGAGAGAGAGAGACGGTTGTGCCCGGCAGCTGATGAGAGCACCACACAAGCCAAGAACGAAAGCTGAGAAAATGATGGTACGGATATAACAAGAAACGGCCCTTTTTCTTTTTTTGAAGTCCCAAAAATCGGAGCTTTTTTGTTTTTGAAGCTGGGATTTGGAGATCGTGATCGATGTGTGTGTATCTGTGTGTAGAAAAATACAATACACACACAGAGAGAGAGAGAGAGAGAGAGAGAGAGAGAGAGAAAAGAGAGAAATGGTTGAGATGAGAGTGTGCTCGTAAATCGAGAATGGGGGCAAAAGCACATAGCAGCACAAGTGTTTTTAAAATTTATTGATGGTCTTTGTCTGCTCTACACTTGTTACTGTGCCTCTCTCTCTCTCTCTCTGTGGAATTCTTCTCCACCTTTAAAAGAGAAAGTAAAAAAAAAAAAAGAAAGTAAAAAAAAAAGAGAGAGAAATGGTGAGATTGATTAATAAATGAAATTGCAGTGTTGAAAAATGTTTGAAATGACGTGAGGAGGACCAAGATTTGGGCTGATTTTTGTCTGCCTTAAATGCATTTGTCAAATCACGCCATACAAAATCTTTTCTGCCACCGGCTATAGCCTCTCTCCCTCCCTCCCTCCCTCCTATTTTCTTCCTTTGAGGATATGGCCGGCTTGAAATTTTTGTTCTTTTGCAACATATTATTTTTTTTATACAGGACCTTCTGATTTTCAGATCCACAGGGGAACCGACTAATCCATAATCGAGTCGGCTAGGACCACAAGGGCGGCAAAGTTCTCCCTCAAGAGTTTTTAACACTGCTGCATTCCCAGGGCTCGAACACGAGACCACTGGTTAAGCTGGAAGAGACTCAAGTCATCTCATTCAAGCCCTCTTGGGTCTTTTGCAACATTTTTTATTAATTATAATTTTAGTCTTGTATATTTTCGCTACTTTAATTTTTTTTGTTCTTTTTAATTGGAGGAAAAACGGGTGTGGGCTTACTAACATGAAGTGCACCGTGAAAGAGAAAAGCCTATATGAAGCCCAAGTGGGTGGAAGGAGGAGTAACTCATTAGACTTATAAGGTGAGTCTATTTTCCATATATGAAATCACAAGTGATATTCTAACACGCCCCATCACTTGTGAGTCGAGCTGGGTGTCCCAAGCCCTACTAAAAACAGGCTCCTTCAGAAGCCCAAACCCATATACAGAGCTGGGTGCCCCAAGCCCTACTAAAAACGAGTGCGGGCCCACTAACATGAAACCCCAAGCCCTACTAAAAACGAGTGCGGACCCACTAACATGAAACGCACCATGAGGGAAAAACTTATATGAAGCCCAAGTGGGGTTCCATCCCAAAACCAATTGGTGAAATGAAGAGTAGCCCATTAGACTTATAAGGTGGGTCTATTTCTATGTATGAACGATGTGTGACAACTCACAAGTGATATTCTAACAATTTTCGTCTCGTATGTTTAAAAAAAAAAGTTACACAAAGGTTTTTTTCATACATAATGGATGAGATTGAAACGTTTTTTTCAAAATAAAAAGACTTTTTTATTGTGAAAATGACCTTTTTGTAATATTTTTTCAAATATACGGAACAAAAATAAAAAATACAAGTAAGACGAAAAAATTAAAACAGTGGAATATATAGGATTAAAGTTGTAATTTACTCCAATATTTTTCCTTATAGACTCTACTTGTATTCTTTCTTGGTCTGTGTGTTGACCAAGGATACAATGGGCTAAAAGAAATGGATCATTACTGCATAATCTAATTCATTTTTTGTTTTATATTCTTTTGTCACGTGTATATATATTTTTCAAATTTTAAAGGGGCAATGCTATATGTACCCCTTTTTAATAAATTACACAAAGGGCAATACTATATGTACACCCCTTTTTTACACACAAGGGGGTGTACATATAGACACCCCCATTTTAAAGTGGCTTATGAAGAAAAAAATTGTGCATAGTAAAATATTGAGTGGATTGTACTATAAGAATTAAATTTAATTTTTGTTTGTTATAGGTGATTGATGGTTCGCATGATATTTTACTGAACATAGGACATGTATTTTTAGAGAGACGGGATTATATATCTTTTATCTAGAAATCCAAGTTATGGTATAGAGATAAGATTACAACTCCATGTACATAACATTTTGTGTTTGGGTTTTTTTTTACATCGTCATGGTCACAAATTAAATATTCAAACGCTTACAATTCATAACGCGTGAAACAACTATATATAGCTGAATGCGACTAAATTGCAGTTTCTTCAAAAACATGACAACATGCTACATCCTTCCTTTTTTTGCATTTGACATTGTATCTCATGTCCCTTTTTTTCTTTTTGCATTTTGTATGTTGTTTTCTTTTTGCATTTTGTATATTGTTTCTTCATAAAATACAAATGTTTTTGGATTATATATCACAATTAGTATGTTGAAATGATTTGTAAAGATTGATTTGTATCTATTGGAGTTATTACTGTTTAAAACATGTGTAATATACTTAGGTTTAAAAACAGTTAAAATAAAATAATTTGGAAGTAAATCAGTCAGTGGGTTCATAAATGAAAGATATATCATTATTTATTTTGAAAGAAACAACTATAATAATCGATGGGTATAAAAAAATCTGATAAGATATCAAAGATATTCGTCCTTTTTTTAGCATTTAATATTGTCGGTAATGCTCTCCTACCCACGGTGGGCACATGTTAATATGCTCACTGCTTACGTGGCATGCACACATTGGTGATTTTAATATGTTCAAAAAAATACACCACCAACGTGTGCATGCCACATAAACGGTGGGCATACTCTTGATATTGTATCTCATATTAAAATATATTTTTTTTGTAAAAAAAAAAAACAAATTGATAGTACTTCTCGGATATTAGTGTGTTGAGATGATTTGTAAATATTGATTTGTATGTATCAGGATTAGTGTTTAAATTTTAAAACAAGTGCTATATTTATGTTTAACAATGGTTAGTACAAAAAATTATTAAGATATATTAAATCTGGTAGTAAATCAATCGATAGTTTAAATAAATAAAAGATATAATAAGATTTGTTTTGAGAGAAACAATATTGATAACTAGTTAGTATAAAAAAAATTGTTAAGTTGTCAAATATGTCCGTCCTTTTTTTTTTGCATTTGATATTGTATCCTTTAATAAAATATAACATATTTTTTCGAACTTGAATCGGTAATATATATCACAAATAGTGGGTTGATATGATTTGTAAAGATTGAGTTGAATTTATCAGGAGTAGTGTTTAAATTATTTGTTATATTTACGTTTAACAATTTTTGAGATTTAAGGAGAACTAATGACTTGTAAATAAAAAAAAAAATTACGTTAAAAAAAAAATAACAAACTTACGTATGAGAATCACTATGAAAAAAAATATCATACTTTACATTGTTATATATGAAAAACAAAAACAAATAGTATTTTGAACTAATTTTACTGTGTATAAATTTTTTACTTGAAAATGAATACGTTGTTTTACCCAATTTACTATTTATATATCTTTTTTATGCAAATAAAAAAAATACAACTCTTTATTAGTGAAAATAATATTTATATAGTATCAACAAAGAACAAATAAATTTAATAAATACTATATGATGTATGAATTTTAAACTAAACTATATAATATTTTTTTTTAAATAAACATCCCAGTGTAGGATGGGGGTTGAGGCTACACCCCCGACCTGTATATATAATGGCCCAGAGAGGGCTGAAAAGTCAATGGTCTACATCAATGTCGAAGATACATAGAACAACATCAAAACAGAAAACCAAAAAGAACAAGGATCACAAAATATCCAATGTGGATCTCAAATCAAATCCTCATAAATGGTCGTCCTGGCCAGGGTGACATGGTATGAGGTCCAAAACAACAAGTATAGTCAGGGTCAGGTGGTGGCGGTCGTCCGAATATGAAGGATGGGTACTCTAGCTGGTCCATCCGAATGAGCGTCCGAAGCCGTAGGGGAATGTCCTCGGGATGAAGGATGCGTCTCTGGGGTATAGATGCCCCCGTGCTAGTAAGAAAATCAGCAGGCCGATTCCCCTCTCGGAATATGTGTGAGAACTGGTAATGGATCGAGCGGAGGATGTCTCTGATGCGCATAAGGGGGTGATGGATCTGCCACGAGCCCTGGTGTCCAAATGTCAATAGTGTGATGACAGCGACAACATCCATCTCTATCCAGATATGGGAGGAGATCGAGGCGGCAATTGCAAGACCAATCTGGAGTGCCTAAATCTTTGCATCATAACTCGAGGAGGCCCGGAGTGGCCCATGGAAGGCAGAGATGAGTGCCCCACCATGATCCCTAATCAGGCCCCCTCCTCCAGCAGCTCCGGTATGTATGTCGAATGCGCCATCAGTGTTTAGCTTAACCCAAGGGGCCTTGGGTTTC